TATGCCATGTTAGTCATTGCATTGTGTATGCCATATAGTTCATTCGCATTGTGTATACTAGTATGTTAATTGCATGTTTGCATGCTTATCCCTCCCATGTTTGTATGCTTGAGTCGCATTGTGTATGCCATATAGTTCATTCGCATTGTGTATGCTAGTATGTTAATTGCATGTTTGCATGCTTATCCCTCCCATGTTTGTATATGTTAGTCGCATTGTGTATGCCATCTCATTTGCATAGATGCATTTGTTGCATCCTCCATACACTATGGAGGATCTTGGCCCTTGGTTTGAAGCTTCTTTGAGAAGCTTTAGACCTTTTTTTCTATAAGAGAAACCATATCCCTCACTTGAAAGGGTTCAGAAAATTGCTAGGGCTAAACAATATATCTCTCTTTATATCTCTCTCTTTTGAGCTCTAAATTGCTTGGTTCTTGGCCCCTTTGCACCACCTCTCATAGCCTAACACTTCCATCATCAACCTAAGGTCTTTGGAGGGTATTTTCAGAGGTTTAAGGTTGAGATTTTGGGTCCAGAGGCTGCTGGTTTCTGCTGGTCTTCAAGGGTAACTATTTTTTCCCTTTTTGAGCATTATTTTGATCCATCTTTTAGCTATACTTGCAAGCATTTTCGATCTTTGACATAAACTGAAAAGAGTCTTATTTTGAGTCCCTCTTGAAGTTTGTTTAAGGACATTTTTCTGTTAGAGGTCATCTACCCCCTTGTATGCTCCATCCCTCTTTTAAGACTTATTTTACTTCATATCTTAGCCTTACTTGCAAGCATTTTCGAGCCTTGACATAAACTGAAAAAAGTTTTATTTTGAGCTCCTCTTGAAGATTGTTTAAGGTCATTTTTCTGTTGGGGGTCATTTACCCCCTTGCATGCTTGTTTGCATCTTATTTTGAGCCTTACATCTAGACCTTGGTTTTGTGCTTTGTTTGGCCTTCTAGCCACTAAAATCCAGTGGATTTTCAGTGGCTAGCATACTATTTTGAGAGCCAAAATCAGAGGGGGGTGACCCCCTCTCTCCTTACCTTGTTTGTTGGCCCTTTTAGCCTTACAAAGGAGCTCCACTTTGCATGTTTTGAAGCCATGTTTCAGGTCCTATTTGGTGAGTATTAAGGTCTACATGAACTCTATCTGGAGCCCATTTTTCCATATAAAGTGTCTATTATGCATGTGTAGAGTAATCCTATTCAAGACCTTTCAAAGGGGCTTTCACTTGTATGCTTCCTAGACTAATTTCAGGACATTTTTAGTGAGTTTTAGGGTCCTCATAACCTCTGTCCAGAGGTGGTTTTTTCATTTTGTATGTCTATCTTATATGTGTGGAACAACCCCTTGCATGGCCTTCTAAAGGAGCACATCATTCTTGCATGCATTGACTGAGTTTCAGTGGATTTTTGGGCATTATTTGGCATGGCATACTTCTATTTTTGGCTGGTTTGGTGAGCTCTCATGTGCTTCATATAGCTGTAGTGCAAATCATGGTTCACTAGCTTACTTTGCATGCTTTGTTGACCCTTGATTCTAGCACATTCTGGCCATGCCTTAAACTGATTTTGTGCATATTTTGGACTGCCCTAGCTCTGTTTTTGGGTCTCTTGGTCGAATGGTGTTTGTTTTGCATGCTTGTGGTTCAATACACTTGCTTAGCTTTGAGTTTCGAGGTCCATTACATGTATATGCTGAGGCATTTTCTTGTTTTGGGGCCATTATACGTCATATTTCAGAGCTTGTTTGAATGTCATATTTTCATGTTTTATACTCTTTAAATGCGTTTGAGAGTCGGGCTTGTATGCCTCATTTACTAACCATTGAATGAGTTCCATTTTGTTGCATTCCGAGCCATCATTTTAGGCCATTTCCCTACTGTTTCAGACCTGCCTAGGGTCTGTTTGGGGTTGATTTTGCCATTAGTGCATTGTTTTGGGTACCTCTAGAGTAACGCACTTCACTAGTTTCGGTACCTGGGCCCCCTAGCTTGCATTGTGTGCCATGTTTGCATGTTTCGGGACCATTTTATATCATGTTTCAAAGCTGGAATTTGTGTGTTTGTATGCCATATTACATCCTTTTCCATGCTTTGGTAGAATGGCATTTGATGCCTTAGAATCGATCCCTTGCATCGTGCATGTTTGCATGTGTTTCGGTTGTCTCATTTCCATCATATGGTCACTGATGTGAGTGTGGCTGAGGTCCACTCATGTTGGTGTAAGTCCATCGTACATCGTGTATGCCATTTTAGTCCATAGCATTGCGTATGCTAGGTTGCATGTTAGAGCATTGTGTATGCCATGTTACATCACGTCCATCGTGTATGCCATTTTAGTCCATAGCATTGCGTATGCTAGGTTACATGTTAATCGCATTGTGTATGCCATCTCATTCTCATTTGCATTGGGATAGGAGTTAGCCCGAGCACAGGAAACGAGGGACGTTTCGTACTCCAAGTGACGAAACATGTCTCAATTTCCGGTCGCCGACGCTCCGGATTAACCATGATGGAATCTAGGCCTTGTTGTGTTTATATGTGCATTCATTTCACATCGAGTCGTGCAATTTGACTCCTCGGCCATCGTGCATCGAGATGCGTGATTGATGGCACGAGGATCGAGGTATGCATACATATGTGAAAATACTTTGCCATGCCTCTTTCTTGCTCTCTGTTGCAGCAAATCAGAAATCAGCAACTTTCTAAAGCCTTGCACAGCATTCCGGGATTAATTGCAAACAGAGGCGAATCAGGGCATCGCAATGGATTTCTGCGCAAGGCAACTCGAGCATGCATCTTTCATCATTCGGAACAGAGCTGAGGCGGTCCATGAATTTGCATGCTAGTTTATTTGCTTTCCTAGTTAATTTGTTAATTAATTAGAGTTTTGTAATATTTAATCATTCATTCGGACTGTAATTATTTATTCGGACTGTATTATTTATTCGGACCCTTCGAGCGAGGGCAATGTTGTAATAAGTGTGCGTGAGTGTGATGTATGTCTTCCAACCCACTTCTTTCTCCCTTTTATTTACCAGCTTATGATGGTTAGATTAGGGCATGTTTTAATTAGCATACTTATGCTTGCATGTTTGCATCTATTCATCTGTCTTGCATGCACCGGGCTCGGCGCATCATACTAACTGCATCGTATTTTAATTCCAAGTTGAATACGTGTTAGCTGTAGCATCTCATATGCCATTCTTAGAATAGCCGAGCCTATTATAATTGCATTTTTTTGCATGTGTTGCATTAGGCATCTCAGCATAGTTAGGATCCATGCATGTTTTCTAATTAGCTTCTTTCTTTGGCTTGGAGGCTTGGAGTACTCGGTAAGTATTTATGCTTCAGCATCCTTGCATGTGTGTGAGTGACTGCCATGATAGCATGCTTACCATGAGGCTAATTACTTATGTGATATATCTGCCTGAGTGCCTGTGGGTGAATGTTGGATTATCTAAATTGGAATAATGCATTGACCGTGAGTTTTAAGTCCACTAGATAGTGGCAAAACCATGTTTTCTAAGCCCACCCCGAGGGTGGCAAAACCTGCATTTTAGCCTACTTGCAAGTAGCAAACCATTTTCAAAACAAACATGAGATGTTTTGTTCAAATTCAGGCGATCTGGTCTATATTTGTATGCTGTGTGCATCACATAGTAAATCTAGGCTAATAATCGGAATAAGAGCACATAATATTTTCAAAACTCAATATCATGGTTAGTAGATGCCGATCTTTGATCGGGCGAGCAGGGGTGCTCACGAAGTGACCTTCCCCAATCGTACCCAAGTTCCCGAGCCGAGGCAACTTTGGTGATGATGGACACGTGGCCTTAGGCAACGAGTCAGGGTTTCTTAAATTTTTTAAAATAAAATATTTAGGTGGCGACTCTGTATCTGGCAAAACAGTCCATGTTTGGCACTTCTTTCAAAAAAATCTGTTTTAAAAAACGATTTGCCGGATTTAGACTCTTTGATGATTCATCGGTCTTGCATTGCACTCTGCGAGATTAGATACAGGACCGTGACATTTGAGTTTGAATTGTAGTGAGCCCAAATGAACAGAACGGGGGATTTCCCTCCCGGGACGTTCGGGGACGTCTACAGCAACTAGTAAGGGCAAAAGGAGGGTAAAATGTGGATTCGAAGCGGCGTTGGTAACGAACTCCAAAAAAAAATCCCGTGCTAACAGCTTGGCTTCGTCACAATCTATTGCAAGTCCAACAGTTGCACCTTCTCCATTATCTGTTGGAGGAGATATCTATGTTCGTCAACATGTTCCTCCTCTTCAACCTTTTCCTCCCCTTCATCCTCTTCCTCCATCTTTGCCCATGGGTGGTAATTTTATTCCTCCGCCATTGATGTATCCCACATATCATGTAAGTCTTACTTTAACATTGTATTTTTTTTGTGGATATAATATGTGACTCAAACCATGATTGCGAAGCCTAATAGATGACATTGTTGTAGGCGAACAATTTGTGGGACATGTATGTAGTGCCAAATTATTTGCCAAATTCAATGTCTCACCTGTATTCTGGTGAATCAACATTCCAGTCACTACTTCAAGGTTCATGTGGATCAACATTCCAGTCACTACTTCTCAAACAGCCTGTACCATTCATCTCAAACATCTCAAATATCCCAAGTTCCCAAATTCCATTCATGAATAGCTTCTAAATTCAAACATCTCAAACAACCTATACCATTCATCTCAAACATCTCAAAGATCCCAAGTTCCCAAATTCCAAATTCCCAAATTCCAAATTCCATATATTCATCAAAGCCAAAAACATTAAATCCATAAATCCATAATAACATTAAATCCATAATAACATTAAATCCATAAATCCATAATAACATCAACTCCATAATAACATTACATCATAATGTACAAAAGTATAGAAAATACAATCAAATACACTATCGCCTTCAAAATATTTTCCACCATTCGAAGCCTTCGACCATAGTCATCATGTTCATTTTCCACGTCATACAGCCTCCTCCTCAGCTCGTTAAAGTCTTCTACTATAACACCATCAGAAGCTCTAGTGTTGGAACGGATTGTGGACGTAACATCTTCATCATCTTCAGCCACAAACTTGAAGTAATTGCAATTGGGAGTTTCAGTCTACAATGCATGACAATTAGTTAGTCGAATAACACAAATTAAATTGTCACTACTTACATATTTAATATTTCCAATAGGTACACTTACATATTTTGATGGGCAAACAAAGAACAAACGTCCTTTATTTCCATTCTCATTGGTTCTTACAATATGTATGGCAGCTATTCTTCCACAATTGCACATTCTCGGTTTTAATCTGATGTTGCTAGTGTCAGTAGAAGAAGAAGCCATTTCTAAATCTATATACACAATACAACACAATACTATCTTTTGAGATTCGAACTCCATAATTTCTTTATATAGAAGTGATGTCTTTCCTATGGGAACTACTTAGGCCTCGTTTGGGAACCCTCCTTTTTAGCCAAAAAGTTACTAAATTAGCCAAAAAGCCAATAACCTATACCAAAAAGTTAAAGATTCTTTTTTCTCTCTACTTTTTGCACATCTGTTCGTTAAAAGCCAAAAAGTCATCCCAAACATACTAGTTTTTTTTAACTCATATTTTAGCCAAATAGTCAAAAAGTTACTAAATTAGCCTGTTCCCAAACGAGGCCTTAATGAATTCCCATTCAATCAATTTTTAATCAATTAATGTATATATTCTAACTAATATCATTATAATATACTCACTACACGTAACTTGTGTAATAAATTAGGAATAGTCTATGTACTCATAAAGTTTTTCAAAAAAGAAAAATTATCCAGAATGAAAAGGGTGGGTTAACATTCAAATGGTGTATTGTCAAATCTATATGTCGATTAAATTTCAATTTTAAAGTGAAATTATGAATATATAGTATTAATGTATAAATTATGGTTTATGTCAGTCGGCAGGTCTGTGCAATGCATACTTGGCAGAAGCAGAGATATCAAAGAGTTGAAGTAGACAAACACTTGAGGAATACATGAGCATTGCTTGGATCTCAGTAGCTTGTTCTGTTGTATTGATCCATATATTCATATATTCATGCTAGCATATATTCATATATTCATTCTAGCATGTATTGATCCATATATTCATATATTCATTGTTCTCAGATGCGTTGGTCAACAAAGGTATACATATATTCATTCTAGCATATCAATACATTACATTGTTGAGTCAACTTCATAATTTGATTCTTAGATTAATTTAGAAGTAATTAATTTAAGTCTTGAGGGATTCATCCTTTATCTCACATCTTTATCTCATTTTGTGAAATTTTAATTTAAGGATTGATCATAAGGAATGGGGATCAAGATCAGATCATTATTTCTTCTCACAATCAAACCAAGGTCCTCTTCCATGTCTAGTTCTTCATACTTCTTTCTATTAGGGAGTTTCCAACCGAAATGATACAACAATTGTGCTAAAAATTTAGGAATCACAAATGATATCACAGGAATCGCAAATTACAGCATTGTAGAAAATTAGGGCTAAAAAAGCCCTAATTTGTAAGCCCTAAATTTAGCTCTAAAAAAGCCCTAATTTTTAAGCCCTAAAAAAACCCTAATTTTTTGAAAATTAGGGCTAAATAAGCCCTAAATTTTTTCAGACGATTCAAAATCCCAAAACAAAGCCCTAATTTTCAAATTCCTAAAATCCCTAATTCTGAAAGCCCTAACTTGTCCATATCAATTCCAAACCCAAATCTCAATCTCAATCTCAGACGTTAGAAGACAAAAGATCTTTGTTCAAAGACCAACCTGGTTCGTGTTGAAGAGATCTTTGCTCAACCGATGGTGGTCATCGCGGTGGAGTTCACGAAGCGTAGAGGCTGGAGCGGTGGAGTTCGCCGTTGGTGAGGATGGGTTCGCCGGTAAGGATGAGGATGGGTTCGACAGAGGAGAGTGTTGTGTGAGAGTGAGAGTGAATCCCTTCTGAGCTGTGTTGTTATTTTGTTTGGGCGGGATCTGAAAAAAAATCATTTTTGATTTTTTTTTTTTTTTATAATCTCAGTCGTTGGATGACCAATGGCTCATCTGAGCCGTTGTAAGCAGGGATGGAGGAGGATGGAGAGGATCTCAACTCCATGTGAATGACCAACCTACGTCATAGATACACCTTGCACGGAAAATCCGTGCAGGCAAAGCCTACGAGCGTGAAACCACGCACAACCAACCAAAAACCATACGCAAAGAGAGAGTGAAACACACACCAAGCTTCGCCCACTTCGCGGTTTTTTTTTTTTGAAAATTTACCCCCAAAACGACGTCGTTTTGGGGGCTGCTGGATTTGGCTGCCGGATAGGACGGCCGTGAATCCGCGCTCGTATACAACTGGCCACATCTGTAACCACGTCATAGCAGTTGTAGAAAACCCATGTGAATGACCAACCTACGTCATAGATACACCTTGCACGGGAAACCCGTACACGCAAAGCCTACGAGCGTGAAACCACGCACAACAACCAAAAACCATACGCAAAGAGAGAGTGAAACACACACCAAGCTTCGCCCACTTCCATTGTCAACATTTCTCTATAACGACGGCGAGCAACACAACCCAGAACTCAGCACTGGGAATTAAATGGTCCATCGTTACCATAGCAAATACACTGACACACATTCGAAGCTCCTTGACCATGGCAAAGAAACGCCATTGTCAAAAATGAACCAAGGCAGCCAACCCGCAGAACCCCACCGGAAGACCCACCAAGCATCCAAAGTTATTGAACCTGAGTTTACTGAACAAAACGGCCATAGAGCCACCCACAACCGAAGCTCATCAACCCAGATTTCACACCCATTTACATAAACCTTCTCTCTCTAGAACTAGGGAGAGAGGTTCCAACCTCAGAAGCACTGCCGAAATAAACCAAATAGCACACCATGAAACAGAGCCATAATCCAGTGCACAAACCGGTCGGACCACCACTGCCAATCTGCAAGACCAACAATGACACCATTACATGCGATTCTTTCTCTCCTACGAAGCTACAGTTCGTTCTCAGAGAAGCAGAGAATCATGAACCCAACACTTGGACACTGAACCATGAACCCAGCACATGGACATTGGTCACCCGAGCATAACACACAAACCTCGAGTCTGATAACCCAGGAGTGAACCACCAAGAAACCCAAACCAGCCATGACATAGCCGGACTGAATCAACAAAAAACCATAAAATCCCCATTTTTGACCCAAAGATGAAGAAACACACCACTCAACCTCTCTGCCGAAGCTTTACAGCCTAGAAAACATACTCACTCACACTCAGAGTAATGGCTTGGAGTCTCTGGAGATATTTGAGGAATGAAACTTAAAAAAGTGAATCTATCATAATAACTCAAAAATACTTAAATTCAACTGGCACTCTTGTATAAGTGTAGTTTTCTTCACATCAAAGTTGATAATTAAAAAGTAAAATTTCTCTCATAGTTTCTAAATAATATTGTTTTTTTTTTTTTTTTTTTTTTTTTTTTTTTGGTAATTGTTTAAGCTATTTTTGCTTTAGAAAACACTTCCATATAAATTTCTTTAGAAAAAAAGTATTATTGGCTAAAATAAACTGTCCCAGACAGGGCGAAACTTAAGGTTAGCGGAAAAAGCTAACTAAAAAATGTTGTGGCTAACCTCTTTCAACCCAGACGACTTGAATCTTTGATTGAACAATGGTTGATCATGAATTTCAATTTTAAAAAAAGGGGAAGGGTCAATATCCTCCGACGATTCTTTTCTCCGCGAATCACTCCTTCCCAACCAGATAACCAGCCCACCCAATCGATCTTGTAAGATCAGCTAATTCAAAGGGACTAATCTGGTCCAAAGTTGTTGGAACCAATCGCTTTGTTTTATCAAACAAAAAGACTGGCACAAAATCACCACCAGAAGGATCTCAGAGAGATGGGAAGTAATTGATTCAACATAAAGAAAAGCTCACTGCTAGGAAAATTTATTACATCAATGAAGTTGTACAAAGTTTATAAATCAACAACATCTAATACTGGAGTATAGTATGATCCTCCTAGCAGTAGAAACAATTTCGATATACAACTCAGATGAGCCAACTATATCGGAGGCTTAGCGCCTGTACACGACAGACCATATCATCCAATCCATAGCAAACTACACACATACATCGGCAATATCTAAAGTAGAAGAAGACTCCACAATGGAGTATAGAATATAACTCAAAGAATGCATCGGAAACAGGAAAGTGATTTGAGGCTCTTCCAAAGAAATAGCAGCATCTTGAGAAATTCTCAAGTGAATCTTCATGTTCATTCAAAACTAGGTAGTGGTGGGGTTGAATCTTGTGTACCCAGTGTGAAATTTCATCTCATTCTCTTCCAAATTGCATAAAAACACCATATAAACCTTGTTCTGGGATTTGTTGATGGAGGATCTAGCCATTGACAATACCCATTACCTTCATGCTTGTTTTCTTGAGTTGATTAGACTTGGACACAATGTGATTTTTGTCAGACTTTGGAGATGCCAATTTATTTCCTACCGGGACTTTCTTAGATGCTGCGGGACTGAGACCACTACCTGCAGTTCTTTCAGCGATTCTCTTCTGGCGTTGAATCAACAATTCTTCTGTTCTCTTTCGAGCCTCTTCTTCCTGTGCAAAAGAATTCTTAATTAGAAGTGTACAAATAAGAAGAAAATTACAAGAAATCAAATAATTTTGGAGCTACTATTTACACAATAGTTCTATCTCCTTGCACCCATTTTCTAATTACACCTTCCTCTAAAATTCAAAATTTTCATTTTATCTCATTACACCCTCTATGATCCAAGAAATATCCTCATTCCTAACATTTCATTCTCTCTTTACACCCCCAAACCTAACTCCACACCCACCACTACCATGACGTGGAACCACCAAGACCCAACCCCCCCATCACCGTGACCCAACCACCTCTGACCACCACCCCAGTCCACGTCCACCATTGCAATCCTAGCCTAGCTGTGCCCCACCTTCAGTTCTGCAAAGGAAGAAGAAAGTGGTGAGGTGGTTTGCAGGGGAGGGGGAGGGCCAAGGTACTGCACAAGTTGGGGGGAGGGTGTGCAATGGTTCTTGATGGAGTTGGGAGGGGCTGGGAAGGGGTGATGAAACAGAGCCATAATCCAGTGCACAAACCGGTCGGACCACCACTGCCAATCTGCAAGACCAACAATGACACCATTACATGCGATTCTTTCTCTCCTACGAAGCTACAGTTCGTTCTCAGAGAAGCAGAGAATCATGAACCCAACACTTGGACACTGAACCATGAACCCAGCACATGGACATTGGTCACCCGAGCATAACACACAAACCTCGAGTCTGATAACCCAGGAGTGAACCACCAAGAAACCCAAACCAGCCATGACATAGCCGGACTGAATCAACAAAAAAACCATAAAATCCCCATTTTTGACACAAAGATGAAGAAACACACCACTCAACCTCTCTGCCGAAGCTTTACAGCCTAGAAAACATACTCACTCACACTCAGATTAATGGCTTGGAGTCTCTGGAGATATTTGAGGAATTAAAATTAAAAAAGTGAATCTATCATAATAACTCAAAAATACTTAAATTCAGGGGGTTGCGCTGCCGTTGGAGGTGGCAGCAGTGGGTGGATGGTGGTGGGGAGGCGATGGGTGGGTAGAAAAATTAGGGTTTTAAAAATTTATGACATTAGGATTTTTACGTAATTTCATGCAAGGATAAAATTATAATTAAAAAATACAAAATGAAGGATGTAAAGAGACATTTTTGTTGTGTAAAAGCTCCCAATAATCGTAAAAATTCAAAGACATGATGGTTAGCACCTTTTCCAATTTGCTCTTTGGAATTGTAGGCCTACTTGTAGGAAATGATTTCTTGGGCTGAGATAAAACGTCAAGTTTGCTCTTTGCAACAGATCCCTGCAAACCTTTAGACCTCAATTGTTTCGCTGAATTAATTGTTCCTGGACCTACAGAATTCTTACCGTTTGTGCTCTTACTATTTTTCGGAGTCTTCTCTTCCATCTGATTGTTTGCTTCAACAGAAGACTTCTTAGTAGCTTCTGTAAATGAATTTTCAATATTGTAATCTATTTCAGGAGACCAAGATGCCCCTGCAGACTCAAATTCCAAACTCCGACCGAGCATGACACAAAGATCATCAGGTTCACCGGATAATCCAATCTTCTTTTGTGAAGCATCGGGGGTGCCATTTTCAGGTTGACGGGCTACAATTAGGTCCGAAACCATGGTTATGTCTGTTTTCCAGTGAGAATCATATTGATCGTCCATGGACTTGTGAGCTTGTACCATGAAGGAATCATCAACGGGAACAATATTTTTACTTATGATTTCCACATGAGAGCGATCACGCTCAGATGACAAAGTGTAACCACCATCAAACATTGTGTGATCGATGATTGCCTCTCGGCTTTCAGATTTTCCAGAGTGATTGACAACAAACCAATCTTCTCCCTTCCCGCTCTTGATCACGGAAGACTCCGTACCACAATAGGATATTGTTCCTACAGGAACACTTTTTGATTCTTCCAACCTTTGTGGAAACAACAATGCCTCCGCACTATCCCTTCTTTTCAAAGTTGGACGGAAAGTCTCACCATTTCCAAAATCTTCCAAGTCAGCTTTACCTTCGTTTACTTCGTTCCGTTCAGTCACAACAAACGAATCCGTTCCAAATGTCTTTCGGGATTGAACTTTCTCCAAACCAAAGTCTACAAAATGGACATTATCAGATGTTCTGTTGTCAATGGAGCTCTTGATTGTAAAGTGTTCATCCAGAACTTTTGAAGGCTGTTGACTTTCTTCCTTTTCGCTCATCAGAAGGTTCTGGAAGGCATTCCAGTTCTCTTGGTCAGCAGAGTCATTGGATCCGTTAACAAAGTTCGGGTTCTTGTTCCCACCTCGTTTCTTGGTATTATTTGACGTTGACTTATGATGTTTCTCCAATGATTCAACTACATCCTCGACCTTATGTTTAATGGAATCTTCATCAACTAACTCATCCTCAACCGAGGAAGAATCATAGGACACTCCGTCCTTTTCTTCGTTTCTCCTTTTCGAAGTGATGTAGTTGATATTACGGATGACAACGGTTTTTGAGGACCTTTTTTTGTGTTTTTTCTTATGCTCGTGCTTTTTGTCGTGAAGCTCAATTGCTTCTGAATCAGTCCCGGAATCAGAATCACTGGATTCAATTTGTTCATCTTCTTCTGACGTTCTGGATTCTTCTACATTAGGAGATTTCTCCTTTTTCCTTGAAGATGACCTTTGATGATGACGTTGATCAGGTCCATGACTAGTTTCATCAATGTTTCGAGGCCAATGCATATTTCCGGGACAATAAGGAGGTACGGGCTGCATTCCCGGGAAAGGATAAGCTTGATATGGAGGCATTTGTTGAACACAGTTTTGAAAATTGAACATATATGGAGGAATTTGGTTTGGCCATGGCATCTGCAATTGAACTTCTGTTTGATCCGATGGAGGCACGTTACTATCTGCACATGGTAACCTTTGACATCAGACAAGAGGCCATTGTTGGTTGGAATACAAATATACAGACATTGCATATGCATGCAACATTTTGTTGTCAAATGTTTTAATTCCGTCAAGCCATGTTTTGATTATATAGTTGGGAACAAAATCTTATCGTTGCAAGCAATTGGTATTGTTGCTATGTTTTTTGCTGCTAGGATTTACGCTCGAAACACACGAGCACATTTATCAATGACAACCAATTTGTGTTAAGGCATGTGTTTCCTTCCCTAATCCATTGTTTGGTGTTTATTGATGATTTGAGCAATGATGTTGAACCAGATTCTCATATGGAGTTATCTAATCCCTAGGAATGAAAAATAAAACTAGAATTATAATGATTAGACCTGACCTTTGCTATTTCAATGAGGAAGCCAAATGAGTTATGCTATTCAATGGAAGGAACATCTATAGAAAGGCAACGTAAAGCTAAAGGTGAAGTTTAGCAATTGCTTTTTTATTAGATTTTTTGCTTTTTTAGAATTAAAAAAAATTGGTGCTTTTGGTAAATTGCTGAAAAAGCTGCATACTTTAGTCTTTCCAAACTTGCATTTTGGTGTGGAATTACCCATACTTTAGTATTATGGAGCCATTGTATAGACACGGTGGAATTTCGGAAACAATTGAGCGTAAAATCATCTTTTCACAAATTTGCTAATAAAGATTTTTTATTTTTTTTATTTTTAAATATGGTTTAGCCTTCCCCAAACAAGATTTTGGATTGTAGCCAAAAAGATGCTTTTTTAGGAGATTCCAAACAGATCCTAAGTATATAGCTTAAGAAAATGTATAAAATGAGTTGAAATAAGAAAGATGGATTAAGAACGTTGACCATGAAAGGACGTAAATTGGCAGCGGTCAAAGGTGTAAAATGACGCACGATATTTCATATAACAAGTTGATGAAATTGGGCAAAATGTAATGTTGATTGAAATTTTAAGAGAGTCTTGTGTAATTATGTCAAGCTTGTGAGGTTCGATGTATTTTTTTTAAAGAGGTTAGTGCAATTTACCTTAATAAAAATGTATATGTGAGAGAAATATAAAGTTTAAAGCAAGATGTCACATGCCCCCGATCATTGTGCCGAACCACCACATTTTCAGAATGTTTTGATACATGTTATGGATAAGTGAACTGGAAAAGCATGAAAGAAAAGTACCTTTGTTGCTGTCTGAATTCGCCTGACTTGCAGTTGAGTCAGATGAAGCATCCAAAGAGCCATTTGGCATAAGTTTACCAGCGGAAACACCACTATTCTGACATGAGACAGTGTTTTCACAAGTGAGTATTATCCCCGATGTGCCCAAGAATGAAAGGTCTGGTGGGGGGTATGCCTCCATTGCTGCTAATTCCTCCATCCAAAGGCCATCTGTGTGTTTTTTCTTGTATAGTTCCTTGAACTCGGTGCATGCCTCCCTACATGTAAACAAAATTCTATGTTGAGACAACCATACTAGAGATAAGATATAAATGCTTGAAACCTAGAAGAAGAGTTTGTCTTCCAAGCTCTTGTACCCCTTTTTATTTATTTATTTTTCATTGTTGGAAGCTAATGTCAAATCATAAATCATGAAACCTAGAAGCGTTTGTTTCTGGCATTCCCAATGGTTTGAGGACAGTAAATAACGTAGAGAACTCCAAAATGCTATCACTTATAAAGAGAGCATAAAGAGGAGGCCTAATCAATTATATTGTGCTCTTATTTTCCCAAAATGAGAAATATAAGTATCTTATTACAACTAGAAGATGGTTTACTAGGGAAAAAAAAAACAAAAGAAGAGAAGAAAATGTAGTTGTATTTTAAAAAGTGAAGAGGATAAAATGCTAAAAAATAACAACTCACTTCCTCTCTCTCGTTTTAACCAACAATGTATGAAAATGTAAAATTTAATTTCAAAAAAGAGAAATCTCTATGAATATTTGCATCCAAGTCAAATTTAACATCCAAATTAAATCTAATTGATCAACTCATACATTTGATGTACTATTAACCTTTTTGTTTCACTTCCATCTTGCAGGTTTAGCACTTGAAATGGTTAATAAGTTCTGTTCTACCAAATCATACCTTAAGCGTGAAGCTCCAAAAGCATCGGCAAATAATATGAGATCATCTATATTGTCCAATTCAAATCCAGCAGCAAGAGCACGTGCATAGGCCATTGCTTGTTCTTTCCGGAGTAAGGCTTTCCGAGTCTCCAAAAGACGTTGAAGACGAATCCTTGTCAACAATAATTAAAAGATTTAATACAAGACAATACTAATGGAGTTAAATTAAGAACAATTACCACAAAGCTTAGTTCTTCAAAGTTAATATGACATACTTGGAGTTCTCTTCTTGTATAGCATCATTGGTTCCTTCGATTTCACCTTTAAGCTGGAATGACAGATAAAAGACATTCAAACTAACGACATATAATTTAACGGAATCATCACTAGCTATTCTATCAGTTTTGCAAACAATGAGAGACCTTGGAAGAATTACTTGACTGCTTTGTAATCCCATTGGCAGTGGACAAGCTTCCTGAAAACCATAGTAAATAGCAGACTCAACAAAGCAAACATGTACTGCAAAGTTATATAATTGAAGAAAATCTAGAAAGAACATGAGTATTCATGAAAAACATGCACATTAATTAAATGCTATAGTTCAAAACATTGATGAAAGGAATCAACATTGATTTTTGAATCCATTAGATCACCAATTGTCTAAAAAGCTTATACTGTTAGGCTGTGTTTGGTTCATGGATTTGGAAAAGGAAAGAGAAAAGGTGTGTAAAATGTAGTTATATTTCATTCACATTTCACCTATCTTTTCTCCTCTCTTTTCTAAATTCCTACCCAAATCCATGAACCAAATATAGCGTAAGGAAATAGGTCCAAAACTGTACATCAAGCTAACACTCGCCCTCACATATGACCCCGTCTTGCATGTGAAGAGGCATTCAAAATGAGAGAATAAGGTGCACGGAGATAGACAAAGCATAATGCATAATGACAGAGATAAGCGGTGTGACAAGACTTAACCGAGGACTTCCTGGAACTAGATTTTTGATATCATATTTGATCACCAGTTATCCCCAGATATAACTTAAGCTATTAGGGAATGGGCACAACAATGGATATGGAACTAACAAAATACAATAAAAGAAATTTTGCAGACTTTTTAATAGTTATATATATATCGCTCCAATACCTTCGTCTGCATGCCCTGCTGCATTGTTGTTAGCAAATTCATTAGGTTGAACTGAACTCTCAATCTGCAAAATTTCATTTTCTAAGCGTGCAAACCTCTCAAGAACCTCTGGTGTGCTTACGAAGCGCACAAATCTGCCACAGAAAATTGATAACTTTCAAATCAAGTACATGAACTTAACTCTACCATCAGCTCTTGGTTCCCCCTTAAACTTTATGATTCAAACACAAGTCCGGGTTTGACAATTATCAACTTTGTACTTCTAGTAAGCTTCAGCTTTCATCTTTTAATTCTATATATATTTAGCAAATCAAAATTTAATGCCGCTTAAAATATAATATTGTACCCGTTTACAACAAGATCTAGGAGAGGTAGTAGATAGGTGCATTATGCCCATATTTTTCTGGAGATGCTCGTTCTCGTCACTTACGGAAAAAAAGAAAAGAAAAAGGGCTAAGCTGAGTGGTAAGCCGATCTACTGATTCATCAAAATAATGGCAGATTCAGGATTTGGGAATCATTTCACACCAAAGTATTCTAGTCATGGGGTGCAGTGAAAAAAAAAAAAAAAAACCATTTTCATGGGGTGCAAGTCTCTTACATGTATGGTGCAAGTCTATACAGTGTTTCAGACTTGCACCAAGAAAGACTCCAATTATTCTTTCGCTATCCAACTGAACTGAAATGCAATTAACCCTTTGTTTAACGGAAAAATGGAGGTAAATTTCAAAAATTCAAGAATTCTGTCAAGATGTTTATCAACATTATGGTTGCAAATTGGGAACTACTATATCATTAAACCAGAATGATTCAAAAGTCCGGAGCCACATAAGAAAATTTTCTGAACAGCTAAAATACGGGGAAATTACCAATATGCCCTATTTTCCCCAATAAATAATAATTCAGTCCTATTAACACTAGGTAGACAGAATAAGACTGAATGATGTGTCAGTAGGACTTAAGGCCCCGTTTGTTTTGGGCTATAAGGAGGGTATTGGGACTAGTAATACCAAAGTATTACTAAAGCCCCTGTTTGTTTGCAGAGAAAGCCTTGGGACTATTAGTCCCTTGGTATTGCTAATACCCTTGGAAGGGGGATTGGTAAGGAGGAGGTAGAGATGGTATTAGAAAATAGTGAGGGGATTAGAAATTTTTTTATTTTTTATATATTGGAAAAGGAATTTTTTTTTCAATATAATGTTTAATTTTTTATATTTTTTTATTTGTTTTATAATTTTATATAAAAATAATTTAACAATTCCTCATTATTAATCCCCTCACTATCAATCCCCTCATTATCAATCCCCTCCATTCTATCTCCAAAACAAACGGGGAAGGGAAACTTCAACTCTAAAAGTAGGACTTATTGAAAAATTTCCAGAAAGAATTATGAATAAGAATAAGCAAACAACCAAACACTTTTGGATAAAATTTGACAAATTTGCAGCACTTGGGACTTTAGAGTTTGTACTTCCTAAACACATTTGTGTGTTCAATGTCTACTTAGGCAGTGTTTGGATCATGGATTCAGCTATGGATTTGCAAAGTGAAAGGAAAAGTGTACAAAAATATAAGCTAAAATCCATGATCCAAACATTGCCTTAAACAGAAGGGCAAATTACATATACACCCCTCGAGGTTTGGTTAAATTACAGATACCCCTGAGGTTTCGGAAATTACATCCCGCCCCTGAGGTTTGTATTTTTCAAACAATTTATCCCCTGAGGTTTGTATTTCATAACAAATTACCCCCTAAATTTCTTATGCAAATATAGCATTCAGGGGGAATTCGTAATTTCTCAAACCTCAGGGGTATCTGTAATTTAGCCAAACCTCGAGGGTGTATATGTAATTTGCCCTAAACAGAATTAGTGACATATTTGGGAAATTATGAACAATCAAGAATTAATTATCTCACAACATTGACAAACAATTGAGTCAAAATTGCACAATTACAATAGAAAATTCAATGAACACTGAGTTTGAGAATCAAATTACCTTTCGAAAGTAGATTTGGTGAACATGAGGCATTGGAAGTGGGTGGCGAAGGGTAATCGAATACCCACCTTTTGGAATCTGATCTTTTGCAAATTTCAAGTGAGAAACAAATGGTTCCACAAGCCCAGAAGCTAGTTTCTCACTAGTTCTCCAGAGAAGACCACTAGATCACATCTATTTCAACATTTTAAGCAAAACCCATTAACACAATCAATCAGTATTTACGGGAGAGAGAGAGAGAGAGAGAGAGAGAGAGGAGGAGGGAGGAGGGAGAGGGGAGGGAGAGCACTGTTCTGGTTGGGGTCAGTTGAAACAGAGCATAAGTCAAGAAGAAGCTTTGGGATCCATACCCAGAGCTAAAAAGAGAGAAAGAGGGTAAGAGTGAGAGAGAGAAGATGAGGGCTTAAAGATCATTGAGCATATTGAATATTGAGATGCAAGTTCATGAAATTGTATTTGAAGATAAAATTTTGATACAGTATTGTAGATGAGAAAGAGCCAGCAAGAGGTGACGAAGCAAAAGCACATGCCATGGAGTGAAGGTGTCTGAG